CCCCCCCCCCCCCCCCCCCGACAGCGACGAGGCCATGAAATTCAGTTCCGGCTCCTAAAAACAAGAATTCAGTGCAGGATCTCCTCATTCCTGCCAAAGACAAGAAGGGACTGGAACAGGCTTCCAAAAGCAACAGTTGAGGCAACTACACTCGACACATTTGTGTTTTTTGCCTCCTGTCTTCCAACACCCAGTTCATAACACCATTGCTGAGTAGCCCTTATAGCCCTTGTTGGCATTTCCCACAGAGAGACTGGTGAAAACCTATATTCGGCATAGGCATATTCGAAAATTTTAGAACCACTGGCGTTGCCAAACAAAATTTTCTTTACACCTTGAACATGCGGTGGTCTAAATATTACTGTGACATCTCTACTACTGAGTACTGAGTATTATCTGAGTAGTATAGCTAGCGAGTTCAGTTGTGAAAATACATGACAGCATAAGGCATATTCCTTCTAAACAACTGGTGATGTTTACAGCATTCGAGATATGAATATGCTATTTTCGGACTTTCTGCGCTTCGGGATGAATATTGTCGATTTTTTCAATAGCGTACCTACTTTCAACCGAGCACCCACCCCCTCCCTTTTCACATGTCATTACTAAAATGTGGCGGTGTTAATTTTATAGACTTAAACATGTAGACCCGCCCCCTATACACAAAATCTCCCCATATCGACAGCACTCCTTTTGCCTCTCAGGGCAAATGTAACATAATTGTAGATGGTCCCCAAACAATAGCATTTCTCGATCTATTCACTGCTGAATGGAGAATGCAAATACAAGTTAAAACTAACAAACGAAAATATATTTTTTATTTTTTTTTTTAAATCTGAAAACACTATGTAAATAGTTTAAGTTAAAACCCGATCTCTTAAAATCTTAGTTCTGACAGGTTTGGGCGTACAGTCGTAAAAGACATCTCAAAATCGTGCATTGTGCCGGTACGCCAAAACCGTTAGAGTAACAGGTCTGTAACTTTAACTGTGCCTCTTTGAACAACATTCTCCCCCCACTCCCGCCCCCATTTTAGAGTTGAGGGCCATGCCACAGTGCAAATCTAATTTGTCCAACTTTATTAAGTTCTTATGGTCATTTTAAGACATGGGTAACTTCCGGAGAAGCTTAGATGTTAGTGTTATTTTTTTATGAAACAGCCCATCAATAAATTGATCGTGGACCCTTAATATATAGACGAAGAAGCAGGGCCGGCGGTAGGAATGTACGGTACCTTGGGAAAATTGAATTTTGGATTTTTTGTCGCGTTATGGTCGTACTGGGGCCTTGCTGGTGATAATGGGACGCGTCATAACGGATATATGTTCACTCGCTTAGTTTCCGAATATTGTGTTGACTGGATTAGGAACTATTAGTAGGCTCAGTGGCGTAGCTAGGGTTGGTGTCACCCGGTGCGGTAAACTCATGGTGTTGCCCCAACCCTCAAACTTCCATGATGGGTTTCTTCTTGTTAAAATAAGTTCACAGTTTAACAATGACAAGAACAAAAAAACACATCAATCGAAGGTCAATGTATTTAAAAACTGTAACAACGTTGAGTTATAGTTATGTTTACATTAAATTTACTTTATTTAAAATTTTCCTTTCCTTATCTTCAAAGCTGAAGACCTATCAATCACTTGATCAAAAACAATGCCCTTCACTGTATCACTTCCAATTGATAGCAGAGCCACTTCAGAAAGCCTAGGCTGTCCCATGGTGGATCATAAATATTTCTTGATAAGCCTTAGTTTTGAAAAGATCCGCTCACATGAAGCCACATGCACACATATCGTAAGAAAAAAATGAAAGGCTTAGCGAGAGTATTGAATGAGATTCTAGGAAGTCCCATTCAGCTATGAATTTCAAAACATCAAATACTGACCAGTCCATGACTTTGTGAAATTCAATATCAGCTGCCTTTAGATGTCTTCTAAGCCTTGGTATTTCTTTTAAAATTCATCTTCTCATAACTCATCATAGAAAGAAGTTGATTTTGAAACGGACATCAATATCTCTTCTTCACTTGTTGATACTAGACTCTTGGGTTAAACAGCCCCAAACGTAGCTACTTCCTTGATCGCTGATGATCTGATCTGGAGTTCAGAATGAAAGCTAAAATACACTCCAGAATCTCCCTACTGTTTCTTCTCGCAGAAAGAGTCCAGCATTTATTAACTGTTCTTCTGTCATTCTCGTCTTCAACCCTAATGTTCTCTCAACCGAAATTCCATATTGGTCTGATTTTAAAAGTGCTTTTTCAATAGCATGTGCCACCAAGGGACGGCGCTGAAGCCATCTTAAGGTCTCTAGGAGTGTCACCACTTTGTCAAGAGTAAAGCCTTTAGTCTGCAGATACTGCTGTGTAAGAATAACTTCCTCAAGTAGATCAGCCCAAAGGTAAAGGTAGCAGATAACGTGAAATCACAGACATCATGTAAAAGAACTTGTGCTGTACGTCTTGTATCATCACAGACAGAATGTTAAAGACCTTGAGCTGTAAATCTTGTATCCAAATTTTCGAGAGGATTACACAGAGCTGAATCACGGCCACACATACTTCAAGCTCATTTTTCACTGTTTTAACAGCAGCATGATGAGCACTCCAACGCGTTGTTAACATTCTTTTCAACGACATTCCAGTGTGTTCAATTAGAACATTCCATCGGTGAGTGGATGCAGCAAAAAAAGGAAAATATTCTTTCAAGAGTATCGAAAAATGTAGTACAGGAAGCATTTTCTGCAAAATAGTGTTGACCACACAAGTTAAGTGAATGGCCCACACATCCATTAAAAAGTGTTTTATTATTTCTTTTCAGAATTGGCTCAACACCTCCATGGATTCCAGACATTGTGACAGCATTATCGTAACCTTGAGCTCTGAACATCAGTTTGCCTAGTCCATCACGCTTTAGTTTGTAAGAATTTCACAATTGAGGTCATCAGCTTTTTTTCCCTCTTAACGGGAAAAATGCAATAAACACTTTTCTCACTTCAACTTTCCCATTGTGGATTTTCATATATCTGATCACTTCAGACATCTGGTTACTGTGTGATATATTAGATGTAATTTCGAACATACTTCCAAAATGCCTCGCAGCCTTTTTATCCATGATCAGAATCTTCTTCACGTGATTTGCAAGGAAATTTATAAATTCATTTTGGGTTTCTGGTGAAAGGTGCTTTTTCTGTAGATGTACTCCTCTTTAGCCTCATTTTGTGATCTTTTAGCACTGGGTCATATTTAGATAGCATCTCAACCATTTCAAGAAAGTTTCAGTGAAGATTCATCTTCATTGTGGCCACTAAATGCCAGATTTTGCTTTGAAAGTAACATTGTGATATCCAACAACCTGTGCAGGATATCCCTCCACTGTTTCTTCTCCCTATCCATCACAGCAATACTTTCGGCATCAATTGTTATGTGTATCCTAAGCTCTGCTGCCAAACCTTTCCACTTTTCAAGTCAACGTAGGTGCTCTTCCGATGCCTCATGATTTTGTAGCTTTGGGCTCGGTTTCCACCACTTATCAAAGCCAGTAACAAATTTGGATTTTGTTTCTGTAACATTGACAGCAAACAATCTGCAGCAAAAACAATACAATTTCTGACTGACGAGTGAATAAACCATCCACGACCGCAGTATTTTCTCTACATTATGCATCATCTCGTAGATCCATTTTTTTTGTTAATTGGCGAGCACCTCCTTTAGGTATCACATTTTGCCTTGTCACTACGCAGAAAAGACGTCCTTGTTTTGAAACTAGGTACTCCTAATTTTAATAACTTCAGATCGAAAATAATCTGGAACTGGTACATCCCAGAGAGAAGCATCTGATAAAATGTGCCATTTTTTTTTTCATTAGCCATTACACTTAGAGTATCTTGGTTTGAATCAACATTATCAGCAGACATTTCTGTTTCCAAACTATCCATGTCTTTTAATTGTGTTTTCACATCAATCTCTTCCATTTTCTCCTCTATATGCTGAAAAAAATGCATGCTGCTGATATCGGGAGAATCAGTATCAATGATAGGCTGTTGAAAGTCTTTTGATGAATCCTGATCCTGGTCATCATTAATTGGTTTCTTGATATCAAAGCATGTATTTTGGTAGTGATTTTAGTGAGTCGCGTATTTTCTTTTTTGCTTTTCACTGGTGACAGCCACTTGGCCTTTTAGATTTGTGCACGCTGTTGTGCAGGATACAATAATCTTGAACAATAAAAATGCTTCAATTTTGGGTTACCGGAAATGAAAAGAAATTTCGTCGACTGTAAATTGATCGAACAGAAATTTGGTCGAATCTTTTTTTCAGTTCACACGTTAAAATGTTCGTCAAATTTCTTTTTGAACGCATTATACCATACAGTAAAACAAAATAATGCGTTCAAAAATAAATTTAAATCAAAATTTTAACATAATTACTGAAAAGATGATTCGCCCAAATTTCCGTTCGATCAAATTACTGTCTATCAATTTACCGTTGACGAAATTTATTTCAATCAAATTTCCGGATAAGTTAATTTTGTCATGTTCAAGACAACAAACAAAATAACTACTGACGACCTTTCAAAAACAACAGTAAGAGCATTCAGGGAAAATTTTAATTTTTAAGTATTTCAGGGTTTCGATATATAATTATATGTCTTGAAAAACTTTTCTTTATTTAAATAAATAAGAATAAATCATTAAAAGATTGAAAATTGTGTAAAATAATATATTTTTAAACCCTATAAATACGTAAAAATTCATTTTTAATGTTTTTTTTATTAATTTTTACCGATTCTTATATTTAGAATCGCCAGACCACACCATAATATGGTATAAATGGAAAGCCCTTTTTCTCAGAATTTATATAAATATAGCCTCCTGTCAAGTACGGAATTTACAGAACACTTCAATTGGCGTGGAATAATGACTGTGTTTTTCTGACCGAAACATGGGGTCATCACATTTCTTACGCACCAACCTTGAACTTTTAATTAAGCAGGCTTTTGGATTGGTTACATTTGTGAAAAATGTATATGTGATAGGTTATCCTTTTATGAATCTCGGTTGGACCGAGCAGTGTGTGCTCAGAGTGCTCTGTAAATATTCAATTTTTCAATTGGGTGTCACCCCTAAAATGGTGTCACCCAGTGCGGTCTGCACCCCACGCTCCTCTCGCTATGCCACTGAGTAGGCTTAGGTATATTATAAATATACTACGGCAACTATGACCTTGGGCGGTCACCCACTTCGCCAGCCCCCTAGTGTCGGCCCTGGAAGAAGCCGGGATAATCATCCTCAAAATAAGATTTTTATCTGTTAATTTCACCTGATATTTTCCAATGAATTGCCAGTATTTGGATCATTTGCATTCTTGCAACAATTAACCTTAAAGTGTTGTTTTCTTTGACTGTATTTAATGCAAGCATTTGGGAGGTTCGGAACAATATTTTGAACAAGTTTATTCGTTTTCAGCCTTAAAGCACAGAAAATTGACATCGTCACGATGTTGATAATTTTGGATATTGATTATATTGGATATCGAAAAGGTTCGATTTAGGTAATGTTGGATATTGATAAAGTAACAAAGTTGAATATCGCTCAGTTTAGATATTGGTAAGGTTGGATATTGGTAAGGTTCAATATTGATAAGGTTTTCACATTTTTGTTAGGCTTAATGCTTTATAGGATCAATCTCCATATCTTAGTAACTGAAATCGCCATATCTTAGTAACTGAAATGTCCATTTCTTAGTAACTGAAAGGACCATATCTTATTTACTGAAATGTCCATATCTTAGCAACTGAAATGTCCATATCTTAGTAACTGAAATGTCCATATCTTAGTAACTGAAATGTCCATATCTTCGTTAAATGAAATATCCATATCTTAGTAACTGAAATTTCCATCTTTTAGTAACGGAAATGTCTTCATCTTAGTAGCTGAAATGTCCATATCTTAGTAACTGAAATGTCCATATCTTAGTAACAGAAATGTCTTCATCTTAGGAAATGAAATGGCCATATCTTAGGAAAAGAAATGTCCATATCTTAGTAACTGAAATGTCCGTATCTTAGTAACTGAAATGTCCATATCTTAGTAAATGAAATGTCCATTTCTTAGTAATGGAAATGTCCATATCTTAGTAACTGAAATGTCCATATCTTGGTAAATGAAAAGTCCATATCTTAGTAATGGCAATGTCCATATCTTAGTAAATGAAATGTCCATATCTTAGTAACGGAAATGTCCATATCTTAGTAATGGAAATGTCCATATCTTAGTAAATGAAAAGTCCATATCTTAGTAACTGCAATGTTCATATCTTAGTAAATGAAACATCCATATCTTAGTAACGGAAAGTCCTTATCTTAGGAAATGAAATGTCACAGGAAATATTAAACAGCACTATCAGTTGTAGCCTATTGTAATATTATAAGCAATTAAATTTATGACTGATTTTTAAAACACATTGCACAATATAAAGTCAATAAACATAATATTCAAGAAACTTCATTAAGACCAGCATTTAAATGTCCTGTCACATTATATTTGTATTTCAGTACCTTACCAACTCTTGAGCCCTTAATTTGAAAGTACACCGCCTTAACAGCACTTGAGCCATTACTTTGAAAGTGCACCAACTTAACAACTTTTGAGCCCTTACTTGTTTACCTGACAAAGGTACATTTATGATACATTAAAGTATTAATGATAGACAAGTCTAACGAAATTCCAGTACCCAAAGCAGTTGAGTTCTTCCCCTTCAGCAAGAGTAGGGCGTTTAAAATTTGAATCTGTTAGTTTGCTGTACTGTCAAATTACAGGCAGAAGTACACGTCAAAATTTCTAAGTTTCAGGATTGATCAAATGAAGACATGAAATCAATATAATCTCGCCGTCAAACCATCTATACTTGTTACCTCCCCTGAGGACTGCTTAATCGGAATTTACATCCAGTCTTGTTTCGATGCTTTCATGTATATGAGAGATTTAGCCACCTTTGTATTATAAACCATATCTCAGACAGAGCACACTAAATGTTAATATTAGGAGGAAACCAAGAAACGAGAATCTGAATAAACTCAATATCTGATAGAATATCATCTAATCAATTTATTGTAAGGGTAACAAAAATATTACATTGATTGCTCTTCCATAACACCAATCTTGAAACCATTCCGACAACTAAAGCAACAATACAAAAATAATTAGCTTTAAAAGGTAGCAAATTGCAGTTGTATTAGTCAGTTGTAGCCTTTCTATACCAGAATCTGGCTCTGAAGTCATCACTGCATGACACAAATGCTGGACCAGTAGGAGAGTGGGCCATGAAACGGACAACACCATTGTGACCTGGTAAATATATAATGGACATATTTCATGTTAGAATCTACAAGAATATCCCAAATGACTCACAAATGACTTGATGTTTCAAGATTTTTAAAATGCTGGATTTCAATTTCATTCTTCATAGACTTTAGCATAGATATCAAAGCATAAAGATTTGAAAATATGTTAAAATACAGAGATGAGAGTTTTAAGTAGTGCTATGTTATTTGACATTAAAATTACCTAATGACAGAAGCCTTTGTCTCTCAGCATTTCTTGAGTCCCAGCAACACAAACTTGTTGTCTTCTCATCAGGGAATAGCACTGGAGATAGATATATGATAGCTAAAGGCAAACCTTAAGAAATGACACAAAATATATATACTTCAAGTTACAGAAAAGGCTTATCAAGTCAGTGGTTTAGAGATGTGCAGTCACCAGAAAGCAGGGGGTGTTCATTTACTTCCATCATCAGAAGGATCAAATTAGCTCTCTGAAAACAACCAAATCCATTATTCAGTGACTATTATGAGTCAAATCTTTGCAAACTCATTCTCAAACCCAGTGGCGTAGCACCTGCGGACCGCACCGGTGACATCATTTTAGGGGTGACACCCGATTGAAAAATTGCATATTTACAGGGCACACATTGCTCGCAAAAATCGAGATTCATAAAAGAATAACCGATCACACATATATTTTTCACAAATGTAACCAATCCAAATGCGTGCTTTATTAAAAGTTCAAGGTTGATGCTATACTGTGGACTTATTTTAACAAGAAAAAATCGAAAAAAATCGATCATAGAAGTTTGGGGGGGGGGGGGTGTGACACCATGAGTTTACCGCACCGGGTGACACCAACCCTCGCTACGCCACTGCTCAAACCTCCTAGATGCGTTGTCAACCTATTCAAACCAAGAAATCTCCCTCTTGGAACCTACTAGCTGTTTTACTTCCCTCTAAGATTTACCAGCTGAAAAATCTCCCTTTTGGACCAACTAGGTGTACAAACTCCCTCTTGGATCTAACAGATGTACACAGTCCTTCTTGGACTTACTAGCTGAACGATCTCCCTGTTAGACCTACTAGATGTACAATCTCCCTCTTGGACCTGATGGCTATACAATTTTCCTCTCGGACTGCTGGCTGCACATTCTCTCCCTTGGACAACTGGCTGTACAACCTATTTAGTTTATTATCTTGTTGGTGTACAAAATTATCCTTAGTTTATTGAGCAGATTTTCTCAACATGTTTCAAAACTTCTCCAGGTCACACTGACCTAATCATTTCGTTCTTGCACCCAAGCAACCACTTTCCTAATCTGAGTTTTTAAAATGGTTTCTAAACAGCAATTAAACTAAACTTTCTTTCCCACAATTATTCTCTGCCTCTACCCTAAGAAAATATATTTTAAAAACTTCATGACTTTGGTTACTTTGTAATTATAGTATTAAATCAGCTCTAACAAGATCATCAATTAAAAACAATATTTATCAGTTAATGAGAAACTTTTGGATTAAATAAACTTGACGAATAAAGCAAATGACATTTTCTTCTTCCCATGTACTTAATATTCACAAATTGAATTTGATCCATTAGTTCTTGAGAATTGTGATATTCATAATAAGGTAGTCAATGGCACTTAACACTAACATGACAAGACAGGTCATGAAATTGGAATCCTCAAAGTACCAGGAAAAGAGGAAGATCAAGAGCCACATGGAAGAGGGGATTAGAGGCAGATGTGAAGAGAATGAAGAAATGTTGAGCTGAACTAGCAAAGATAGCCCAGGACAGGGACAGATGGAAAAATATTATGGGGCCTATGCTCCATTGGGGTGAGAAGAAGAAGAAGTCAATGGTACAAAGTAAAACTTAAATATCGAATTAATATCGGTGTAGCATGTTTTTATGCATTCTTAATTTACATAATTTGAATATTGTCAACATTACCATAGTCTTCTGTGTGGTTAAAACAAGCCACAGTTCCATGCTCCATGCCCCCAGTGACTCCAGCCCCAGTGTAAACAATCAGACATCTGTTGGTAGACAACTCCCATAATTTTACTAGACTGTCTTTACCACTGGATAGAACATACTGAAATCAAGAAAATGGACAGTTTTTGTTGAATTTTATCTTCTGGTCAAAGGATAATTGAAGAAATAGTAATTATTTTAAACCATTTTTGAGAATGGCTTGTACCAAGTTGACATTTTCTGCTAATTTACATTTTAGAGTATTTAGTATTAAAAAGCAAACGAATTTGAGTCCTTTTACTGGTTAATAGGGTACCTTTGGGTGTATGTTTCAAATAAACATTGAACTGATGTCATTATTTTCAGATTTACAAAAGAAACAACTACTAGCATACTTTCAATGACTTATGCTAATTGTCTGTTTCAGCTCTTTTAAGAATTTCCTTAACTTTTTTTTTTAATGATTATTATATGTTGAATGACACAAATGGATGGAGTGTTTACCTTATGTCACACTTCTCTAAAATACCAATATTCCAATCTTCAACTAATACATGATTAAAACTTACTTCCTATATCTCAAAAAAAAAATTTCATCAAAAGCAGAAGTTATGTATTTACAAATATTGTTCAATAAAAAATATGGATCAATCACAAATAAGCAAGATAAAGATTTAATACTGCTAACCTGATTATTCAGCACAGTCAATAAGAGAACCACATATCAAAATCAATATATCAGCAAGCAGTAAGCCAACACAATCAACTTAGCCTTTCTATAGTCAAACGTATGTCATGCTTACCTTGGAGTTTCTGGTGAATGACACTGAGCACACCTCCTTGCCATCATGAGCTTTATGGAATGTGTTGATACACTTGTTACTGACTCCATCCCAGATTTTGATGTTGCCATCAACAGAACATGACACAAACATGTTAGCATTAGGGCTCCATTTCAACTGGGAATGAAAGCAAACTTTAGCTATTACACTTTTATATAAATGTCATCAATAGCCTATGTCGCAACTGCTACCTCTAATAGCAGCGGTTCTCAACCTGTGGGCCGTGCCCTTTAACAGGGGTCGCCTAAGACCATCCGAAAACACATATACTCTACAGTTATGAAGTAGCAACCATAATAATTTTCTGGCTGGGGGTTGCCACAACATGAGGAACTGTTTTAAAGGGTCGCGGCACTAGGAAGGTTGAGAACCACTGTCCTATAGGGTTAAATATTTTCCTTAAAAGTAAATTAGATTATCTGCAGACAGATAAAAGATTCACACCCCAAAATAATTTCAATTGTTCAACCCATAATCATTTAAACTGGTAGTAAATAGAACCTAATTTTTAAAATCTGAAGCACATTTTGAACATCCCAACATTGAGGGACATTGGAAAATGATAAAAAGTCATTTAAGAACCATTTAAAGACTTTTTTTCTTTAAATAGATTTAACGACATGAAAGTATAAAAATAGCATACAAAAATGCTAAAATAGCATGGACACAAGCACCATAAAGTACTCAATCATCATCGTCATTATCAAATATGCAAGTTTCTTGCCAACGGAAGAGTTTTAAGGATGAGATTCCTCTATATCAAATCATTAACTGAATGCATTTTTAAACAGCTCATGTCAATAATTGTTCTTTTATCCATGTTAAAATATTTAGCATAACAGATAATCAATCATTATTTAATTTCTAATATTTTTTACTTACCCCAGTGATTTTACCATTATGTTGATCTTGTGCATTACTACCCACAAAGCACTGGAAAGTGTTGACATCATAGAGTCTTACTGTAAATTGTACAAATAACATTACTATCCACAAAGCACTGGAGTGTTTTACATAAAGTTTACTGTAAATTGTAAAAAATAACTCAAAAATTTTCTGAAATAAACAGTAAATTGTCAGAAATATAAAAAAAACCAGAAATATTTATAACTGAAATATGTGTATTTTTAGTGTAAAATTTCATGTCTTACCACAAAATTGAAATGTAGTATTACAGTTTACTTTGTAAATAAATTTCAAACTTATAAACTATATGAGCTATTCAGTAATATGAGAAGTTCTGAAGGTACAACTTTTAGATTGGAATGTCACTGAAAAGATTTGGCCGTACTTGTTGGGTGTCTGGTACCAGCAAGAAGGTAATCCCCACTGGGATGAAAAGCTATCTGTGTCAGCTCTGATGCTTCCTAAATGACATTGGGATATAAGGCATCAATAAAATGTTTTTGATTGGTAAATAATTTCAAAGATAATGACACCATTCAACATGTTGAGGGGCTGACAACCTAGCACCTAATTTTCTTTCAGTGTCCAAACTACCCACCTCTCCCCCCCCCCCCATTTCAGTGCATTTATTTCTCAAGGGTGTATGGAAGTCAGAAATAAATTAATTATAAGAAAAAATATTAAAGCATGGGTCATTGTGCCCTTTTTTTCTTCTTTTCTTTAGAATGTTACTTGACATTGGACAAATGTGTGACATATTATACCAGATAATCAAGTTATCCAACATTAAAACTAAATTTTAAATATAATTGGTGAGTATTTATATGCTAACTTGGGTTTGATGTACACATTCATTATAATAATAACTGTTAGATCAATTAATGTTTAAAACCACCTTTTCTATTTCAACACAAGAGAAAATTGCATATTTTTTATGTTATAATAACACATGTCTAGCTTTACTAGATATATTGATATAGATGATGAAAATGACTGTTGCAGACTAATAAAACATTAAAAAAAATAACAAACCTGAATGCTTTTGAAAGCTTTTTTCACTGATGGCTTTGAATATTCAAAAAATCTAATACTGAAATCATCACTACCTGATGCCAGAATTGATTCATATGGATGGAAATCTAGACATGTCACTTCCTAGATGTGCACAAAATAAGAATAATAAAAGAAAAAATACATGGATCATTTAAAATAAACATGCAATGTGTCATTTTTAAAATGAACCGTACTCCTCCATTAAAATATACATGTAAAATGTGACTTATCCGACGGCCTGGGTAATCTGTTGAGGACAGACTTGTTCATTTCTATCTCAAAAAAATCTATGATATGAAATTATATGATTACATGATATGATTACAGCTTTGATAGTCATTAGGAAAGAAAACTGTACATTATTTTTATTTGGTTAAGACTTAATGATTTCTATAAGAAGTGATCTTGATATAACTTTCATGTTTTTTTTTAAAATACATGTAACAAAGTAAAAAAGTTAATGCTTATGACAAAAGAAAGACCTTTCAGACTATAATTGTAATTTTCATTTGTTTGTCCAAAAGAAATAATGTCATGAGAAGTTGTAACACTGTTTTGATTGGTGATGTTAAAAGTCACAAGATTTTGTAATACTGTTTTGATTGGTGATGTTAAAAAGTCACAAGATTTTGTAATACTGTTTTGATTGGTGATATTAAAAATGTCATAAGATTTTGTAGTTGTAATACTGTTTGACTGGTGATATTTAAAATTTATAAGATTTTGTTAAAGTCTTTTGATTGATGATATTAAAAATGTCATAAGATAAGATGTTCTAATACTGTTTTGAATGGTGAAATTAAAAAAGGGTGTTCAGCAGAACACTTTCTTATTCATCCATTATCTGAAGCAAGTACATAGATCTGATTAGTTAGTCTTGGTCTGTTGAAAATTAACAGGTGATAAATAAAAGGATAATTGTTATAAAATGAGCAGCTGGATAGATAGGCTAGATGGATTAGTTAGTTTAATGACAAATATACAAGTCTCACTATATATAAATATGTTATACAAGATCACCCTCATCTTCTAGCCGAACTCATATTTTGTTTATATGTTAAAGGTAGAGGAATCTTAACTATACAATACTATTCTACTTTGTGCTGGAATACCTACTCCATTGTGATCATAAAGTGTTCGAATCACAGGATGGTTTTCCATTTGTTGCTGAGGTGTCTCTAATGCCATTACATCTGCTGGTGTGGCACTTTTTGACAACATCCTTTCAACATCTAGGACCTTCAGATAAAAAGCAATTCATGTTTAATATATCATATTAAATCATTATTAAATCATAAGATATATCTCATGAGAAGTTATCAAAACTTTAAGTTAAATTTTTTTAAAATACAGCACATCATAATGAATGGAGTATCTACATATTTCAACAAAATAAAATTTCTTTCTTATGGTCTGTGATAATATGTGTTTTACCTTTATGGATGCATCTTGGGAACCTGTAGCTATCAGCTGACCTAAAATGTATTAAATTTTATCAAGGCATTTTACTTTTAAAAAGCCATATACAAACAATATAACATAAAACATTTACAGTGAAACATATTGACTTATTTGTTTAATGATTTAGTTACCAAAACACTGACGATTCAAAACAATTCTATTTACAAATCTTTCAAAATGGTGAAGAACTGTAGAGTAAAATTCTTAATTTTAAAATAGTGTAAAAATTATAAAACAAAATCAAGGTAAATTAATGAATTAGTCAATTATGTTAAAATAGATAAAACATATATATTATGTGATAAGGCAAACAAAACAAACAACACCATTGTTGATATTTAGCAAGTTTCATCTTAATGCACATTAGCGGTACCTATTAGTGTTCTGTGATGCACCAGTCAATCATTGTTGATATTTAGCAAGTTTCATCTTAATGCACATTAGCGGTACCTATTAGTGTTCTGTGATGCACCAGTCAATCAATTTTTTTTTTAATGCATCAGTTTGAAGCAGTTTTATTATTTTAGATTATATTTATTATATTATTTCCATCAAAACTTGTAAGTAAAATGCTAACAAATACCTTTTTACTAGGATTTTTAAAAAGGGCCCTGAAATCTACCTTATGTATACCTACCAGTATGATGAAAAGCTGCACATCTGCATGGTCCTTTATGAGCAGTAACATAACAAGTTTCATATAAGGCTATTTCTGGAGAAATGGTCTGCACTGTTAAACCATAAAAAGAAATGAAAATTATTAAAGAGACTTTAAATTAATGTTAGTCTAATAATATAAAATCATTTAATATTGAATTTAAAATAATTAGTAAAAATATAATGAGTTGGCAAGTTTTTAAATTAATCAACTTGTTAATAAACTATTAACAGACCTTCAGTTTCAAACTCCAAATCTATGCCAGAGCCAGGTTGCAATATGTCACCAACAAATTCCTCTTTATCTTTGCTTTCTGTTACATAAAATTATCAGAATTTTTATCAAACATATTTAACATTTTAATGGACCTAACACAAAAGTCAATTGCAATACCATGTCTCGTAAAAATTATTTGAAAGAAAGAAAAAGGGGGCATGAAAATAATGCATTCTGCTTAAATTGCCATGTTCCTAGAAATGTCAGCAATTGATCTCCGTAAAATTTTAATTTTTTTCTTCTTTTGTCTTGTTTGAAAGACATTTCGGATCTTTCAGAAATTTAAATGAGATGGGATTTTATAAATTTTACTTACCCATGATCATATCAAAAATTATTTCCTCAAGCTATTTTATTTAGCAACTAAACAGACAATAAATATAGAGTTACCATCTTCATCATATTTTAAACCAAGCTTAACAATTTTGAGCAGTCTGTCTGAAGGTGGACATGCTGGGTGTGGCTGTATAATTGCCGCTAAACCAACTGCCAAATCTTTGTATCCATCATAGAAAAGTTGACTGAAACATAGGAAAGATTATGAGAAAGATTAGATTTGCCATTTTAAGGCATGGGTACTCTGATGTCATTTGTGGTAATTTATTTTATTTAATCTGTAGAATTAAGTTTATAAACAAATAGTCCATTCAATTATCTTTCATTTGATACCAAATTTTGTTGTACAAACCCTACAATAAAATTTTGGCTAATGTGAAGAGATAGCACCCTGACATCATTTGCTTGTTTTGTCCCTGGTTCCGATAGGGTCAAAACCCTGGTTCCGATAGGGTCAAAATCCTGGTTCCGAGAGGGTCAAAACCCAGGTTAGGGTAGGCATATCGATACCCGCTTGCGCATTCAGTTTGCGCATACGGAAAAAAGACACGAAAACTGAAGTGGCCATGTTACAATCGCTTCTGCAGTGACCTCGGGTTTATGCGTTTTACGTCACAGTTTCCTATTTGTACATTTATTTTGTCATCAATTACAATAAATATTTTTCTTCCGATGACGCACATATCTTTAGACCAATTTGATTTATCTCTATTCTTTTGTTGTGTCACTTTGACCATACGGTAAGCTATAAATATGCATTAAATACTCAGTTTCAGCAATTGCACAACATTGAAACCTAAAGAATCGAGTTAAGCATCCAAATTGACTGAGGAATAACTATGAAATAGTACAAATTCTATTTTCTAGGTTAATAATAAACCTTTCATATTTTCGTCACCCTCCCATCACCGGATGGAAAAAATAAATTTCTCCATATTTTGTATCTTCACCGGAAATGAAATTCGCTCTCGGTATCAATAAAAAAAAAAAAAGTTTTAATATTCCGTAATCTTTTAAAATCTGAATAAATCTAAGTAAATTGTAATTTTAGAATACAGAAATCGAAAATATACATAAAATCTAATTTAAGTTTGCTTCCACCTACTACTTCTAGACCTACAACTACAATTTAACTATAATTTATAGGTCAAAGTCTATTGTACTATTAATAACTTACTAAGCTTAGCCACTAAGACTAAGACTAAGTTTTCAGTACCGGTACCATTTACTAATCTATACTATAATAATAATAATAATTATACCTATAAGCTATTAATACTGAGCCCCAAAGTTTAATAAACGAATACAAATTTTCTAATACTACATAAGGCCTAATTTACATATTCAAATTGTTAATATATTGATAATTTCCAAATTTGGTAAATAGAAATCAAATTAAATTTATTATAATAATTTTTTAATAATTAAATATTAATAATAATATATAATATTAAAGTTTTATAAAATACATCAAATTAATAAACAAGACTCAAACATAATCATAATAGTAATTATATTTTTATTAGAACATAGAAAAGCAGTACATAGAACACATTTTTTAATAAATTAGTCTCATCTTCTTGGGGGATTTTATTTAAGTAATTTTTATTTATAATTACATGCGTTCAATTTTATACATAAAAAAAGACTACTTACCATTTTATAAATATAATAATTGATTTAAAATTTAACACAAGCATAATAAAATTAGTTAAAATTCAATAAACATGTTATTTTTTCGTTTTTTCCTGTATAAATAATGATTTTCCCAATTTTTCTGTTCACTTTTTTCTGAACATACCCATAAATAAATATATAAAAAAATAAAAGTCTTGATGTTATATAAAAGTTTTGTTGTTAATTGTGCTGTATATTGCATTGAGAATGTCTCCTGAAAATTTGGTAGCATTATCTTTTAAAATCCAAAAGTTTTGGGCAAAATAAGGCAGAAATTTGGAAAGTGGGTCACACGTTTTTTTCATTTAAATACTAAGATAAAGAAGGGGGTTTTAAAAAATCAAAAAAAAAATCATAACTCCACTTCTATAAAAGATAGAAAGATGTGTCTAAGGTTCAGGTAAGTTTTAGGGATAAATTTAGGATATAAGTTCGTGGGTCGCGGCAAACCCTGTGCTTTCTCTTCACATTTAACAATATTTTAATTTTTTAATAAACCTAACCTCTCACTTCTGATACCGGGTCCGAATAGCCGAAGCCAAATTTATAAAGAATACAAGTAAGTTTACATGCGATAATACGAAATTTGATCAGAAAAATTATATGCACCTGAACTGCAAGATAACCGGGTAGTGACCGGTAGTGTGAGTGTGGGAAAATAAAACACTAAAAGTAAAAGTAAAAGTCATAACTTTTCTCTATAAATTATAAATCATAGAAAGATTGGTGTCATTGGGCCACTAGCCAACACTTTCCAATGATATATTCTTTGTGTATGTCAGCTGTATTTGAAAATTTTAGGTGGATAGGTACTTAGTGGACATTACACTCATTAGACGATGATTATCATTGATTAGTCTTAATCAGGACTTGACTAGAATACCAGAATTCCAATCTGATACATGATACGTATCAGATTGGAATTCTGGTATTCTAGTCAAGTCCTGATTAAGACTAATCAATGATAATCATCGTCTAATGAGTGTAATGTCAACTAAGTACCTATCCACCTAAAATTTTCAAATACAGCTGACATACACACTGATACTGATAACGTCGTAAGTTCTCTAAATAAATAAATGTTGCTCACCTTATTATAAGTCTGTACATCTGCTCTCTCTTTTTAATTTCAAAGTCATCCATATTTTTTGTTATCAATATAAAAACAACTAGATTGTTTTCTGAAGCAGTGAAAATTAAATGTTCTTGTATTTAATAATAATAATAGGTCTAAGGACTTGACTTAAGTGCCGGTTATTTCCAAAAATGAGATTTAGAGTAACTTCTCTTGGACAGTAATAATTAAAAAAACCAAGTGGATGCGTACACCGCGGCGGTGTACCTAGCGAAACCATCGGCTTTGGCCTGCGTAAACCGCGGAGGTATGCCTAGCGAAAAATGTACCATTGGCCTGGTTTTAAGAAAATATGCATGTTAGACAAGATCTTGTGTGGTAAAGTGGACGCTTGTGAAATTATATTTTGAGATCGATTCCCAGTAGGCGTAGGGGATCGAGTTTTTTTTTTTCTTCCCATTTTAATTAAAAATATTTTATATTTAAATTATCATGTTCATTTGCAACCGTAGTTTCATGAAAAGTTTTTAAATATTTTGTAGTAATTTAAACAATTTAAATATATGTGATATTTTATTTTTATTGTATTTCAACATTCTTTGTGTATCTCTAGTTGAATATTTACATTTTATTTTTACGAACACCCAAAGAAAATAACAGTATATCAATAATATCATATGAATATTAATGTGCATGGTCGTATTTCAAACATCTTGTTTTCACTATGCATTGGCTAAATGTAAACACGATATCAACGGTTCACTCACAACCCTCAGTCTCACAGCAAATCTTTTGAAAACATCACCATTTTAGAAACTTATGGCGCGGTAGCAAACTATATAGCAAAGCCATAGGTCTGTGTTAACCCTGTCCATGACGGAATTTGTTTCCAGAATGGCATGGCATGTGCTATTCTCAGGGTAAAAGAGAGAAACCATTGCACAATGCGCTTGGGATAGGAATTTCGCCATTGATGTCCGCTGGCATTTTTTTCACTAATGTGTAATGCCAATGTAATTCAATGATATTTAATTATTGTTAAAAGACTTTTAAAAATCAGTGCCGTGTTTCGTATTGATCATCATACTGTTGTTTTGTGTTGACAATCGCTTGATATGACAATGCCTCGGACAAAATTTAACTTTACGACTTCATGATCAATGTATGTGATTCTCTTCCCGTAATGTAATATATCTTGATACTAACAAAATAGATACACTGGCTTCTCATTCATTTTTACACCACGCCCCGAGGGATCACATACAATGTTATAATTATAATGCCTCCCACCCAGAAGAAAAAACAGGGGGGGGGGTGAATAATTTCAAATTAGTTACCCTTTTTATGGCTATTGAGATTCAGAATCATAGGATAAAACTTACACCAATTAATAAATATATTTAAATTTTCAATAAATGGGGGGGAAATAAAGTGGTTAACTTTAAAAATAAAATATGGTTAAACATTACACCCCCAGCCCCTCCCTTCCAATAAATAATAAGAAATGCTCTACAAGTACTTTGCCACATAAGCGTGGAACTTACTCAATATCTTCCTCCCAAGGTACTAAACGGTTTTTAAATAAATAGTTTTCAGTTTTAACAAGAGTATAACATTAAATCTAAAAGTACAGGTTAGCCCAAAAAGTTAAAGACTCGCAAAGACCACGGTTTTGCTACTTTAAATCGCTGCGGCGTACGCAGATCACAGACAATGATTTAGCTAGGTACGCCGCCGCGGTGTACGCGGGCCAAAGTCAATTGTTTCGCTAGGTACACCGTCGCGGTGTATGTAGTGCCGGCCAAAAAAAATAATTATAATAATTAAATTCCTGTATTTATTTGATATTACAAAGTATGAGTGTTTAAAAGCTTTATAATTTTGTTTTAAAAAATATGATCAATCAATAAAACCAGAAATATTTATATTACACATTTTTAAGCGGTGGGGCTAGTCCTGAATAAAATAAAAATATTTTGTTTTCTTGTTTCAAGAACTGCAACTTAATTTATCATAATTTATGTTATGTACGTGTCTATTTAGAGTTTATGGCATTTGCCACATAGCATTTGATGAACATCTGTATTATTTTCTGTTTAAATATCAATTTCATGCATGCAATTTAATCTTTCAAAGAGTTAATTTTTTTTAATAGATACAATGCTTTTTTTTTTTTTATACTTAAGTTAACTTTTCAAATGTAAAATTACTATAAAAAGTTTTTATTTTTATTTTTAAAAATCTGGCTCAGTGCTTATTTCGTTTCTTTAAAAAAAAATAATGAAGAGGAAATAGCTTTAGCCAAGAGTGGCATAGACTAATAATAATAAAAACAAACAAAGGTGACCAAAAACAACGACAATGGCTGATGGACTTGGGAGAATATTATCTAAACCTGTATTTGAACCAGAACAGTGTAAGTAAAAGCTTATGGCTTATGAAGACTGGTATGGATAACATCAGATGAGTTACACATTAAAAAAGCCAAAAGTTCAAAAGGGGGTGTGGCACTCACTAAATTAAATAAATAATTCATTACTCATTATAGTATTTACTGAACTGAGTATTTACATGAAACCTTTCCTTTCCATAGCCCATTTTGAAAAACTCTGCCCTAACTCACTATGGCACGATCCATTTCTTAACAAAAACACTTTAAAATAGCACACTAAGTGAACTACATATGAAATACCCAACAGTTTCCCTTCTTTCTGCTGAGGTGGGACAAAATCAGGTTTCCCCTGTGAATTATAGCACATGTGGTGCTGGCACCAAATTACATCATGAGCTAGGTTTGCATAATTTTTGCTTTGCCAATCAGTCTGCTATCCATGTGTCACTACAAAGCATCTGAATATGTCGTAGTCTTAGCTACTATTTTTAGTCAACCGATCTTATTTGGTTCTAAACATCCCTGTTTATCATCGAAATTGGCTAGATACACACCACTGGACAGAACTATTAAATAAATTTCACCATTTTTTTGTATCTTCATCGTAAACGGCTCTCGATGACAATCATTATGCCTTATATGAGAGAATTAATTTTCTGTTATCTTTAATGTAACAATCAAAGTGTATTATCCAGCCATTCTCTAGAATGCCTAGGCAAAGTGTATAATATAATGGCTTATGTATTTCACACTTTGACGATGCATTCTAATTCTATAGAATGGCTGGATTACACACTTCGCCTGTAACACTTAAATAAATGAATATATCTAATAGTTTTTTTATGTAATCAAATTCTAGAATAAAGAAATGATTACAATACCAAAAATTTAATGTAAGTTTGCTTCCACCTAATATGACTAGTAGGGGTACTTGGCCTACAATATCAAAAAAAATAGTTCTTGTAGGTTTATAGTATATAGCCATTTGAGAGCATGATAATGATGAATGTCAATGAATTAATCAATTGAATAAGCCTAAGGATTCCAAACTAAAAAGAATAAAAAAATAATTTTAAAAATATTAAAGAAAATTTTACCATTCCTCACGATTTTTTTTCCACAATACTATTTAGCTTTGACTATGACAACGTAATGATAAATCAAAATGTATATCACAAATGAATGATTTTAATAAACCTAGGGTTCCCAATTTAAAAAAAATTAAAACAAAAATAATAATAAATATTACCATTCCCCTAGTTGTTTTTTTCCAAAAATCTATTTATCTTTCTTTTGCTTAATTGAAATTTCATTTTTGGAAATATTGAACAAGTAAGCCAACATGCAGCTGTGAACAGTGTTTGCAGAGGATTTGTTATATATTAAACGATGACAGCAAGACATCAAGCAGCAATGAATATGGGATTGCCAGCCGACAGATAGGGTGACAATGTAACATCTGGTAGAAGACCGAAGGCCTCAGTCACTTTTAGCCTAAGAGCCAAAAGTCTCAATCACTTTCAGCCAAAAATAAACCGAAAGTGCGCCAAAAGTGATCAAATGTCAATTTTCGGTGCTGAAACCGAAGCCGAAATTTGGTCAGTCTCTAGACTGGAATAATGTGATTTGCATGTCCACCTAAATATTAATTAATATCTATAGCAGATACACGTCTGCAAAACATAGTGATCGCAGATTGCAGTATAAAGGTTAGTCATCTACTTTTTACCTTCAGTTACATTTTTTTGAGGCCAACTTAACTTGATCCCACTAGACGCGTGATGCAAGTAGTTATACATTATATATACTGTATGTTTATTTAATTACTATTAAGATATTGTACTATTTTGTGACGATATTAAACGATTTTAGGAATTTGAGGGTAAACAGGTCTGCATAAAGTTTTGTATGAATTTGAGATTGGAAAGTACTATTCTGATATTATATTGTACTATTTTGGAAGTTCCAGGGTAACCAGATCTGTAAAACATCTGTGTCATGGACCCTCAAGGATCTCTCTCCATTGTTCTCTGTCTGTCACCACACACTGAATGGCCTTTCAAGTCATTTCATCACTCCAGACTCCTTGTATTTCCTTTGCATCCCTTGTTTGTTGCTTTTCATTGCTTACTAGGCAATGCTTGAAGGCCCTTTCCTGATTTTGAGCCGAATCCAGTGTTTTCTTTTTAAGATGTCATATGCTGTTTGTAGAGCATTAACTTTGCAAAAAGTTTGCATTAGTTATCTTTCCTACATAAGGAGATTATTAAACATAATATAGATATAAAATGACAGAAGAGTTTGTTGTTTTTTCTATTCAGTCTAAGTTTTTTTTGTTTTGTTTTTTTAAGTTTCAACTGTAAATAGGTTTTGTATTCTAAAATAATTTTATTTTCAACAAACAGACATTTAATCTAATCTTACAAATTCCTCTTTCAGTCATAGCAAAGCTGTCAGGAGATGGAGAAGATGCTTTACTTGACATGAAAGCAAAGATTCACATGCTCAATGATGAAACAGCACAAGCACTTAAGAAAAATGTGTACAAAAACTACTCTCAGTTTATTGAAACTGCAAGAGAAATTTCAAGTTAGTCAATTGAGATAAATTATTTTATATTTAAACATTTGCTGTTTAAATAGAGACTGAATGTAATATTTGCTTTGTTTAATTTCTATTTCAAACCAATTTAATTTTAGGATCCTATTAATAGTCTTACTTGCATTTGTTATTTCTTGTTTTATATTGTCTGCTGAAGAAGACATATACTTAAAACATCCATTTAAGTTTCCTGTCTTTTCTTTTCAAGCCTAAACATATCTTGACCCACTATTTATTTGCTCACATTAAGAAGGTGGAAAACACAAATGATAAGATGCTGGTTTGGCTCTTTAGAATCTTGAGGTTGTTTTAAGTGGGGAAAAAATTGTTCTTCTATCAAGGCTAACATTTTTGTTTAATTGTTCCTGCTTGTACACAAATATTTTCTTATATCCAGTTCTTGAAGGTGAGATGTATCAACTGAGCCACATGCTGTCAGATCAAAAAACTGAAATGACTAAAATGATGGAGTTATCTTTGGTTAGTGATAGAGGTAAAGATTGTTTTAGTTGGCTGTAGATAGTTCTTGAAGTTTAAACAATGGTAGATCATAGTTCAGGTTATTGGTGATATTTTGGGAATTGGGCAAACTCATCTTTGTGTGGGCCGAAATTAAAGTTTGCCTACATATCCTAATTTGTCTGCTGATACAGTTTTCATAACAGTGCCCCTTCATTACTAGGTGACAAGTAAGTGCTGAAATATTAATTTTATCAGACATTTATATTTTTGTGATACTCGTATTAATAAAAAAGTAATTTTAATCAAACTGTATTATACAATTATAATTGTAATATTTTAAATATAATAGTCAGCATTAAAAAAATGTGTTAATGAGTAGGTTTTGTTGTGCTGTTTTATAAATTAATAAGCTATAACTTGTTTGAAGATTGCTAAATTTTTTTTGAGGAAATGAGTGAAACAAAGTATGGGAAAACCTGAAAAAAGAAATGCAACAAAACAATGAACATCTCACAAAAGTCAAGCTCTGACATGCAAAGTCCATGAAGACGAAATTATTGAGAAAAGGGGATATAGTCTTTGACAGATGTTCTGAACTTCTCCGTAATATTATGCAAGATAAGCAGTGACTCGTCTCTAAATACACTTCAATACAAAATCACCCAAACGGGTGAATTTGGAAAACAAGCTGATCCATAATTATGAATTTCATGGTCTCATTCACAGTTTAAACTTTGGTCTGCCCCTCCTTGTAGCGACCAATCACAGACAACTTACTTCTCCTCTTTTCTTTCCCTTTTATCTGTTGTTTAATCTCTCAAACTACTTATTTTCTGTCACAATTCTCTTGCTGCCCTCTCGGATACTACATTTCAGCTAAGTGTTATTTTTATTTAATTCTGTTTTTACTGTTGTTTGTTGCTGATGAAGGCCTTTTGTCAACACATGCGCTGTTTTGTTGCGTTCCTTTTTTTCAGATTTTCCAAAATTTTGTTTCACTCATTTCCTTTTTTTGCATTTTTGATTGCAGTCTCCCCCCTTATTCCTATTTTTTTTTTAATTTTGTGATTGATCCAATATATAGCTATGGTTCAAGGTTCAAAGGGTGAGGATGAAGACAAAACCAGTCCAGAGGAAGAGACTCGGCGTAACTTAGCTTTTCTACTAGAGAAAGTTGAAGGATGCTCTGTAAGGAAACATATATGATTAGCAAGATTGGCCATAATCATGAAATTGTCAATAATATAATACGGAAATGGCCACACTTAGAGAAAAATAGTGTGTGTTTTGGTTGGGGGGGTGATGTGAGCTGGCCATTTACGATAGTAAATTATATCAATTTTTTTCTGATACACAAATGCATAATTATTTTTCCTTTCCAAATAAGTACTGTCTTGACTACTTAATCAACTATGGTACAAATAGTTAACTAGTTGTAAAATGAACATTTCTATCACTTAAAAAAAACATATTAGTTTGTCCTTCTAGGATTTTTACATTGGGTCAGCACTATGGGACAATATACATAGATGTATTCAAAAAATTCCAACTAGTTCTTAATTCCTTCATTTAATATAATTGACAAAATCAGTTTTTTAATGATGGTGCATTTTAACATCAGCATTTTTTATAAAAAATCATGACAGAGTGTTGTAGATGCACCTGGAAGACAGTTGGTTCATGATGGAGACCTTGTTGAATTGGACACAGAGACGCATAGTCAAATCCATAGAGTTCACGCTTTTCTCCTCAATGACAGTCTCATGATAGCCACATGGATTCCACAAAGGTAACAATTCACTTATCATTTTAACTGATTCAAATATAGTATTTAAAGAAAGTTTTTTAACAAGTGATCATTCCTGAATTATTTTTGTAACTTATTACATTTAGGATTTTTTCTTTCTCAGTGTTAGTGAGCTTTGCCGGTCCTGAATATTTCATTCGGTATCAGTTGGTTTCCTTGATTAAAGACCAGATAGCAACACTGGTACATGTATTTCAGCTTTGTATAAATTCACACATAAATGCCTGATATTGACATTTCTTTTACATGACAGGAGAGGTCCTATGAGATACAGATTTCAAGGGTTATATGAGCTTGATGGCCTCGCTGTGGTCAATGTGCGGGACACTGGGCCAGTCAAAAATGGTTTTAAAATTTTGATGTTCCCTGAATCACACATGTACCAAACAGATACAGCCAAAGCCAAGGTACATAACATCTTTACTATTCTCATCAGTTTACAATGTCTTTCCACTGTTGGGAGAATAGCTGTCCTTTGAAAAAGCTTACTAAATCAGTTAGGCAACAGTTGAATGGTTATATTTTCGCTGAAAAAATATCATGGTTCATTGGCATTATGGTGATTAATTCTTACTTTTCAACAGAGGCAATGGCTTGATGCCCTAGAGGACACCAAGAAAAAGAAAGCAGTGAAAGATAAGCAAAAGAAAGAAGCTGCTACAAGATTAGCTGAGCAACAACTAATGGCAGCACTCGCTTCCCCTGGCGAATCTGATCTTTCTAAAAGTAATAGTTGGTCGACTTATGTACCTTGTACCTTATTACCTGCCTGTATGTAATGTCTTTTATCCTTTGATTTATTAAATCCTGTTTCCTTTCTTTAAAATAAATTTTATCCATCAAAGTTACACAAAATATAATATTTATTTCTACTAGGTTTTAGTGATGACAAGGAAGAACCCGTTGACAGAGATTTTCTGTCTGCTGATTGGTTGCAAGAACTACCAGAGGATCTAGATATGTATATTGCACAGCGTAATTTTGAAGGGGCTGTTGATCTTGTGGAAAAGGGTAAAACCTCTATTATTATAGCCAAAATCTTAGCATTAATTTTTGTTATTAGTGAAAATTATAAATTTCCAAATATAATCTGAAAACTAAAACTGAAAGATTTAATAAGCTTTAAGAAGTTTTACATTTTTTAATTAATCTATGAAATATAAAGCTATATTTGTTCTTGCTTCTGTTTTTTGTAGCATCTAAGATATATTTACACGTTAATTGGTTTAGAGATTATAGTTATTATTGATTTTATCATTTAAATGTCTTCATTCAATTTTTATTTCAGTCTATGACCACTTAACAGTGTGTCCCAAAGGTCCAGCATTAAAAGAATTCAGGTAATTTCTACCTGTGTTTCTGGGTTACTTGGATGACTATTTTTATAACAATGTCTTTATTTTACCAGTACAGTACTATTTTCTTTATGATTTTCATAAATAAAAGTTTGAATATTTATCTCTACAATTCTTACAATAGAAAGAACACCAATAAGCCTTTAAAAAATATGGAAAGTATGATTTCATGTAGTATATTACAGTAATAAGTTACCAAAGTAACTTTATACAGCAAAAATTTCAACGTCTTTCTCGGCATCCGGTTTTCATCCATAAAACTTGGAACACAAGCAAAATTATTTAGCTCATGTAGTTTATTACAGTTAAAATAACATTGATAATTTGATAACTTATACTGGGGAGATGTACCAACTTATACTGGGGAGATGTACCAACTTATACTGCAGAGATGTACCAACTTATACTGGGGAGATGTACCAACTTATACTGGGGAGATGTACCAACTTATACTGGGGAGATGTACCAAAGCCAAATTTGGGTCAGCTAAAATTCCTGCCAACTTCCCGAGAAAGTCAGGACACTACAGGGAGATTGAATGCCTCTAAGTCACCTAGTCGTTTGATGGTCTTGACCAGCAATTTAATCGCTGCGAATACATGAACTCTTCTTGTCCTAAATTTAAATCACTTCATGACAAGGTCACATTGAATGTATAAAAAAGAGTTCATGGATAGTTGGTTTATTTTGACCTATTTTGCATAGATCTTTTTAGCCTTTTAAATATTAGCATCCATGATATTAAATATTAGCATCCATGATATTGCTTATAAATTTTATAGCTTTGAAAATTTTTGCCCAAATCATTTTTGCCCAGAGCAAGGATAGAGCACAGAGTCAAGCAGCTGACTGATGGTTTGATGAGTGAGTTGCAAGTCTCCCCAGAAAGGTCACTCAGAGGAGGGCCTAGAGCTGCCAGGAGAGCTGTCACTCAACTCATCAGACTCGGGAAGTCAGCTCAGGTTTCACATGTTCTATATGATTTTAAGTGTTATGTGTAGGAGGGTTCATTAATCATTAATGATTATTAATTGATGTTACCACTGCCGGTTCATTTTTCTAATGTAATGGGTTTGTGGCTAGGACCAGCATGATCGTCACACCTAATGACTCATCTTTTTTTATTTGGATTGTATTTTACGTTAATGATGATTTTTCAAGGAGCTAGTGATCATCAAGCTTGATGAATTTGTTTAAAGACTTTGGTTTTTGATCAATTTTTAGCTTTTTATTTTACTTTTGAAATGAAGTCCTGAAAAAACATGAGACTGTATTGAAATATATAATTTAAATCTGTCATTTCATTTTTACCCTAATTACACGGCTAAAATTAACAAAAATTCTCCTTAGCTGATATCTTTGTATTACAGGCATGTGAGCTTTTCTTAAGAAACCGCAGTGCAATCATCAAATACAACATCAGACAACTTAAGTTTGAAGGGGCAACAACCCTCTACATACGCTGCTTATGTATGGTTTTCTTCTCATCTCTCTCTGACACAGCTAAAGAGTTTATCAAGGCATTTCCTGGTCATTTTGGCTGTTATTCAGGTAAGAGATGTGACTGATAACACAGATTAGTTATTCATGATTAATTTATATTTTATTTTTTGTCAAGTAATGACAAATGGTGCTATTGTGTATTTCTTATGTCTGTGAGAGTAAAATCATTTTTTAAAAATAATTATTTTATTTCATTAGTTAAATCATTTGCATAGAAATTCAAAATATGTGTTGAGTATTACTGCTCTTATCCGTCTATTAACTTTGAAGTGAGTTGCTTTTTAAGCTCTTACTTAACAACAGCCTCTGTTTTAATCTCCAGCTTTTGTGATCTGGGCAAAACAAGAGCTGCAAACATTTTTTAGTATTTTCCGCCGTCAAGTGTTTGAGAGCAAAGCAAGTCTCACCACTATTGCTGACTGTGTAGTTTTGGCAAGGAATCAGTGTCAAGAGGTAATCAATCAAAAATAAGTTGTTAACTAGATTTTCAATGTCATGTTTTTCTTTTAATGTTCTCAAAAAAATATATTACATTTAAGGTTACAGAGCATGCAAATTCCACCAATAACAGCACTGTTCGAAGCTCAATACCCCAAAGTCCACTAATAATAACACTGCTTGAAGCTCACGACCACAAACTCTACCAATAACTACTCTTGTCATTTTTCCACTATATTTACATCTTTTCAGTTGGGTTCCATTGGCCTCGATGTCAAGTTTTGCCTAACTATCCTCTTAGAAAATTCTATACAAAATATGATTGAAGAAACTAGGGATCAGCTAATAGATGGTGTTAAATACAGGGCTAATGTAAGTGTTTATCTCTTTTAAGGGAATAACTGTCAGTGTTCTAGTGAAGTCTGGTTTTTTTTTTTTTAAACTCTTTTTTTTTTTTTAAATTAAGATTATGCATTTAATTTAAGAATAAAGATGTGAAGTCTTGTTACACTTATTTTGCCTGAAATTTACCAATTCACTTGTCTGAATAAAGTGCAAAGAATAATTTTTTAAAATGTAAAATTCTATTTATCTGTAACTGTTTGGTCTCAAGAATTATCGACGTTAAATTGCAATTGTCGGATTTAAAATATTATTAAAATGTAGTGAATACAATTTTATGATCATAACATTTGAAGCCTCGGGAGATGTCCTTTTCTTGAAAAGACTCTGATTTTACATTTAAAATTACCTATAATTTTTTTTAATTCATCAAAAACTTTGTTTTTTTTATGCTCCTCATATAATACAATGCTATCTTTCTTACTTTTTTTGCTTTTGGTGTAACATTGTGTATATATATGTTCTGTATACCAGGATGACTTATGGAGACCTATGAACCACCTCTCCCAGACAGACTGTGATAAATATGTAGCAGAAGTTGCTGCCCTTGGATTTGATATTAAACCATATGTTTATGGTAAGATCAATGTCTTTTGTTGTATAGCATTAATGCCAAGTTCATATTAAGTTGAATTTTAAATATTTGAAACACTTAAATGAGGATCTTCATTAACAGCCGCTCTTGAAAGGAAAATAAAGGCGATGGAGATGAGATGCTTCAGAAGCATTTTCGGCATCTGCCATAGGGAACACATCTCCAATGATACAGTGAAAGAAAGGGTTCGTCAGGCAATGAGGGAGTTCGATGACCTACTAGTGACTGTGAAAAAAACGCAAACTACAATGGTACGGCCACCTAACAAGGAAACAAGGGCTTGCCAAAGAAATATTGCAGGGCACCACAAGAGGAGGGAGAAGAAGAGGAAGACAAAGAAAAAGATGGGAGGATAACATCAAAGAGTGGACAGGACTAACACTGGGCGATGCAGTGCGTAGTGCTGAAGACATAGAGGAATGGAGGAGGATGGTTCACATGTCATCTGTGGCGCCTCAACGATCCAAGGACTAAGGAACATGAGTATGAGGAGGAAATGAGGATCTTGCTCATTTTTCTGAGTATGGAGTTGGAGACAATTTAATTAAATTGATAATTTTGTGTTATTTCAACTAGTGTATGTAAATCTGTAGTCCAACAAAGAAAAGTTTACATTTGAACACATTTCAGATAAATGCTTCATCGCCATAACCATGAACTCAGTCCAGTTTGCCAAAAGTATTGTTAATTATGCTGAAGACCTTCTGAAACTGTTCAACAGTGAATTAGAAGACACCATTGCTGAGGTCCTTGCAGCTGTTTACAAGGCACAAGTCCTACATATTGAAACATCCTTAAAATCAGAGCAGTTTAAGAAGGAGGTAGGATGTTGTTTTTTTTTAATTTCTCTCAAAAATTGCTATAATTGGTAGTCATAAAGGCTTATTAATATTTTGCTTGTTAATGTCCAACAAGAGCTGGTCTAAGAACTCCAGAAATCATATGAACTTTTATTATAAGAACTCACTAAAAACTACTTAAAATAAGTAAAAAAGATGATTTTCTTTTTAATATACAAAAATAGATTCACAATATTTACATCTTCTCTTATTCATCAGCAATCATTGATACTCAAGAATTCCCAGTTTTTGCTTGAGGTGGTGATGGCTAAAATAGAATCTCTCTACTCTTCCATGAATGTTCCCTTCCCAGTCAAACTTCAACAAGTCAATGCTCACTTCAGAAAACTCAAAGCTTTGATTAACAAATAATCATAGCCTGAAAGCTGAACAAGTCACACTATAATTATACTCCTGAATTTTGAGATGAATGAAAAACAAAGATTATTGGCATTGCTGATCCTAAAGTATATTGTCTTTATCCTACATCTAGAAAAATTTCAGGATAAAATGATAGAAAGGTTCTTTCTGATGATGTTTCCTGAAAATCATAAATTATGTGGAGTGTGTTAAGTTTGATGCAAAAATAAATGTGTTAGTTAAGTTAAAGTTTAAATAATGTAACTTTTTAGTTACCCAGGCTCTGGTTGGTAATGTAAGTCTGTAGTGGCTTGCTGACTAAAGAAGCACTGCCACAGGCCCCCTGGCATTACCCAGGGAACAAAACCCCCATAGCTTGCGCCTATGTTGGTAGACAAGGGACATGCATGGTATCTGCCGAAAATCGTAGCATCTACAGGGCTACCAGCTGTGGAAAATCTGCAGTTGGATTTAAAAAGGCAGAAACAGGGTAGGGAACATGATTATGTGTTGCCCTTAATCTATATGAGGCAACGGTGGGTAGTGGCATCCTCATGCCGATGATTTTATTTGCACAGCATTTGAAAAACTGTTCCTAGCCACCATTTTGTCCCATGTGCTTGGTAAATTAGTTGTGAGGTAGAAACCCATTGTAAAAATCCATATTAGAGGGCCCCTGACACTTGCCCGGGATGGGACAGGGAAGATTTTAGGACATAAATATACCATCCCAACCCCCTGGGAAAGTCGACCGCAACCGGATGTCCTTGGGCTGGGATTGCCTCCATTGGTACCTGATCGAGTTGGTGCTGGTGGGGTCTGTCCTGGTTAAAGGAGATCTCAAATGTGCTGCTTCGTGGTCCAATACTCTGGCCTTGGAGAGGGCATAAAGAGCTTGGTACTTGCTTGATGGCTCTCTGACACCATTTCCTAATGTACAATTTCAATAAGCAAACATTTAATATTGCATTAATAAGCTAATGGCTTGAGTGCTTGAATCACACAGTATTTTACTACTGTACTGTCTCTGATTTAACTCCATGGGTCGTCTATACCAGGGCTGCTCGTCTCCTGAAAATGAATGGACAATATGCAAATTTAACTGAAATGACCTGTCTGTTAAAGCTCATAAAAACATCTAATTATCTGTCAACACAAAAAAGAGACATTATAGACAAAGGTTTAGATGCAGTACAAAAACTGAAAATGTAACAGTAAAAGTTACTTCTGCAATGATCAACAGTATCAACTTGTGTGATCATAAGCTCAAGAAATTCAACACTGAAAAGAATTTCATACAATAAATGTATGCTGTTTCGATATGGACATAGCATCATAGTTTCAATATTTTTTTTTTAAATATAAATGTGAAAAGTTTCCTAGTTAAAACAGGAATTCCATTTAATAAAGGGGGAAAAAAATTGACAACTAAAGAGTTTTTAAATGTAAATTTTCCTTGCATTAAGAATGTGATCCATAGTGATTGGTGTTTATTATAACAAGACTAAACTTTGTATTCTTTATTTAAGTTTTTTACTGGTCACTAAAATTTGTGTAATATATTTGTGTAGTAATTGTTATTTCATTGCTGTCCACTGTACATTGTTTATTTCAATAGAATATATTATTTGATAATGAACCAAAGATAAATAAAACAAAAGATTCCTCATGTTCAAATGTTTTTTGTTTACCTCTGATGTTGTACCTTGGATGTAGGCCTATAGTTTAAGCATATCATGTATTTTACAATGGCAAATGAATCATTCATCTTAGATAAAGTGTTATATGGCAAAGGAGAAAGATGGAATATAAGGGTCAACGATACAGCGTAAATTATCCAAAATAGAGACCAGGGGGTCGTTTCAGTTTCTGATACCTATTTATCCAATTAACAACACACTCTTAAGGCAAGTTTGGATTAAAGACGGTATGTATAGTGTACCATTTATTTGACCTTTTACAAGTATGCTGCTTTATATTTTGTTGTATTGTAATAATGTACAGTAATCATCTCCGATAGATTGCAATCACCTGATTAATGTCAAAAACCATTAAGTATTAGAATTTTTTTCTTTGAAAAGAGGTAATTTCCAAAATAGGTGACTGATTCTGGGAATAAAATCTGAGGTCTCTTTGTCTTTAAATTCATGGATTCTTCAATGTAGCATATAATAGTTAACAATTTTGCAAATCGCATTTGCCCAGTCTGGTCACAGCTTGTTCAATGTCAACACCTATCTCAATCTTTCTGTGGTCGGAATGGTTTACCAGTTTAGTGTTTGCTATAGGCGAGCCTAATGTTCCGTTGTGTATGCTTATATATTTAGTTAAAGATACGGATAGTTCAGATAACCATCTTAGGAGAGTGCCTAGATTCATGCTGTGTCCCAAGCATTTTGCTAACTACGGACCTGTCTCCACCGCTCAATATAGAACATTTGCATTTACGCTTTGCAGCCTCAGCACAGCAATACAGATTGCCAACTTTACATGTTTATTGGTAGCTATGTGGCAAGAGGCGTCACTAGGGTGGTTGTGACCCGGTGCAGTAAAGTCATGATGTCCACTACCCCCCCCAACCCCCACGACTTTTTTTTTTCGCTCTTAGTATGGTTCATAAATTAAATTATAAAATAAAATAAAATATGATGGGAATAACATAGAATTTGAGGCAACTGCGTTTAAAAATGCATCAAAATTACTTTTTATTGAAACACAAATCTTAACTGTTAAGACTTTACTTTCCTAGTCTTCAAACCTGTTGACCATATCATCAAAGTTAGCATTCTTCACCTTATCACAAAGTGGAAACAAACATAGGATTTCTTATTGTGAAAGAAAATCTTAATCCATCTTAATCCATCGTTGCTCACTGTAAAGGAAAAAACAACATTTTATAGATATTTTATAACATGTTGTTTTAATTTAATTCTGTTTTTATTGTTGTTTGTTCCCCGACGAAGGCTTCTTGCCAACATGATTGTTGTTTTGTTGCATTCTTTGGTTCAGGAACTCAAATACTTTTTTTCCCTCATTTCCATTTTACTAACATTTTGCAGATATGTTTTGACCAAAGCAGGTGAATTATTTGTCAAATTCATTCCTTTACACTGAGGCGTATCTTGTATTGCCTGGAGCAAAATTGAAGTATTGACCACCCCTCCCCCCCCCCCCCCAAAAAAAAATTAATTAACACCAAAATCAAAAAAAACATCCACGGGATGGTGGTAGGGGTCGCAATCCGGGATCCCGACTCTCGAAAATACCGGAATACCGGACCTTGATCGATGCTCGAAAAAACCGTGATTGGATTTATAAAAACCGGGCTTTTCGGTAATCCCGCGATTTCATTTTCAAAAAATATTTATCGCTTTTTTTAGTTTCCATATCTTAGTTAAAGCAAGGCATATCAATAATTTATGCCATGTGGGAAGTGCGAACCCCTCACACCACGTGTATCAAGTTCAAAGAGAGCCGACCGACGGTCTTAATCTGTGTACTCTTCGTGTACCTAGCCAAACATTTACATGACTGAATGTCCCCGTTTGTCTGTACCATAATTAGCCAAACATTTAGCCTACATGAAAATGTAAAAAAAAATAAATTTAAGTTGTTCAGGTCAAACCAAATAGATTTAATAAATACTTTTTTTTAAATGATTTATTTTCCCATCATGTTGATAGAAAGAAAAATGGGGGGAAACTGAATAAAATAAACCAAAATATGAAAGGCTCATGAAACTATCGGAAACAAAGACATCAGTTTGGTATTGTGGATTCTGAGCGGAGGTTCTAGTCATCTGGTTACGTATGTTACAATTTGCGCTCAAAATGAAGTGATCAAACAGTCGACCCGTTGTCAGTTGTCATTTTCACGATCTCAAGATTAAAACTACACAAATTATTTTAATATTTGATCATGTCTGAAGTTAAACATTTGTGTTATTGTTAAAAACTTATTAAAAATCAAAATGCTATTTCTTTTTTAGTGTTTTTTTTTGTTTTTTTTTTTGTTTTTGTTTTGTATTCCTTTAATAAATCATCACCTCTAATCTCGACACAAAATTCTCTAAATATTGACAATATCGAAAATACCGGGATTCCGGTATTCGTAAACTTCAATATCGAAAATACTGGTTTTGTTCAAAGGGGTTTTGCGACCCTCAGATGGTAGCCCCTCATGTATTTACACATTTTTTCCACAAGCATGAACATAATTAAACTTCTTCAGTCCTAGATTCCTTTTACCCCACATTGTTTTACGAAATATTATGGTTATTAATTTTAATTTTAACATTAAAAACTATACCAAAGTTCAAATCTGTCAAATAATTAGGTCTTTAGATATAGGGCCTAGATATCAAATGAACCTATTGCAACTTCATATTCATTTGGTTCTTATTTAGATGAGTGATAAGTGCATGCCATTAGTGAATGTTATTTGGCCATGAAGTTTCGCTGCACTAATTGACTTAAACGGCATTTTCTTATCTTATCAGTTATTATAAGTATTTTAAAACGTTTTATTACTTTAAATATTTTATAAAATTATATTTTCGGAATGAAAATACGTAAAAACTTATTAAATGTTAAAAATACAAAGCTAAAATTTGATGTGTTTTATTAACAGTTTTAAAAGTCACCAATTATTATAATAATTTTATATTAATTTTACTCTAAAAAAGGGCAAAATGCATTATCAATATCAGTTTTGTCACATTCACATGCCCATGTGGTCGTGGTCGTGGTGATTAAATCAAAAAAATTTAAAGCTTTTGATTAGCAAGTTTAAATTTATCTTTTACTCTTATGAAATTAATATAATTTTACTTTAAAAGAGTTCGATCGACAAATATTATTTGATACTGTTTGAAGTAATAAATTTAATTTAATTTCGCAACATTAACAACAAAAATAAGTGTCTATCAGGCATGCGTGCTTAGCACGCTCCTATATGGTAGCGAAGTGTGGACCACATATACCAGTAAGGAGCGGAAACTCAACAGCTTCCATCAAAGATGTCTGCGTCGCATTTTGCGCATTCGTTGGCAGGACAGGGTGCCTAACGTGGAGGTTTTGGAACGTGCACACATGTTTAGCATATTCTCCTTTCTTATCAAGAGACGCCTTCGTTGGTTAGGTCATGTACGGAGAATGTAGGAAGGACGTATCCCAAAGATACTGCTGTATGGAGAGTTGGCAGAGGGGACAAGACATATTGGACGACCGCGCCTGAGATTTATTGACGTTTGGAAACGAAGCATGAGGGAAGCCAATATTGAAACAAACGAATGGAAGTTCATTGCCGAACATCTCTCCAACTGGCGAACAGCAGTGTTTGGAGGAGTAAAAAAGGCAGAAGCTACTCGAAACGAGGCCCTTGAACCAAAAAGAACAATTCGAAAATCAAGAATTTACCGGGTTTCAACATTTTCCTGCGAGAGATGCGGCCGTGATTGCCATTCTAGGATTGGCCTAGTGAGCCACTCGTCAAAGTGTAGAACTATATAGCTACTCCATCGTCTCACGTAGACGGAAGGATGCCATAATAATAATAATAATAATAATAATAATTAACATGGCTTCTCAAGATTTTTTTTTGGGGGGGGGGGCAGTGCCAGTTGCCAGCGGCCAGAGGGGTAGCTAAGGGGGGGCAGATGGGACAAACGTCCCGGGGTGACTCCATCGTCTCACGTAGACGGAAGGATGCCATAATAATAATAATAATAATAATAATAATTAACATGGCTTCTCAAGATTTTTTTTTGGGGGGGGGGCAGTGCCAGTTGCCAGCGGCCAGAGGCGTAGCTAAGGGGTGGCAGATGGGACAAACGTCCCTGGGTGCCAGACTATTTGAGGGAAGGCAAAAAGGGGCTTAGATGGTATTAATTGGTTGAAAATAATGGGTTTCAGAGGAGGCGTAAAAATTAATCTTGTCCCCTGACGACAAACACTGTAGATACACCCCTGGTAGTGGCATCGAAATAGGGCGAATAAAGCGTCCACCTAAGTGTCACTTTTTCTTTATATGCTGGTGTTGCATTTTTGGACAACTGAAGAGTTTTTATCCTACTACATCTACCTTTTCTAATATTTCCTATTTTTACGAGAGTAAAAAAAACAAAGAACAACAACAAAAAACAGGTTTAATAGAAAGGTCTATACATTGTTATGGGTTTTGAAAACTGGTCATTTTTATACATTGTACATGAACGGCCTAACTATTTTAAGAAGACATGAGTTGTTTACAAAAGACATATTTATCATTAATGTGTAATTTTATCTAAGGGAAATTGTATGCAAACAAAGAATAAATCTCCCAATATTCAGTAGATTGAAATGACTATTTGGAATTAAAACTACTAAAACTTTCTTAAATTTCCCCCTCGCTATACTTAAAAATCTTTTTGATAATATCCACAGAGTCTATTTTAAATTGACGAATTAGGAATAAGATTCTTTTTTAAAAACGTACCAAAAAATGGAATTGGCGTGATAATCGAAATGCTTGTTCACAAAAACTTTTTTCTTAGCTTTCTACTGGATTCTCATGTAAAAAATTAATAATTTCAAAAAATGAGTGCAATGCAAATGGATGGGACAGTTTGTTTATTATTCTGACATTAAAAAGAGAAAAGCAGTTAAGAAATTAATTAATAATAATAAATATAGGCTAAGTATTTTAAAAAAAAAAAAACAACTACAACAATCTGTTATTCAGGAAACTTTGTAACAAAGGTAGCACATTTAAAGAAAACAAAAATACTTTTGATTTAATAA